GAGACTTATGTACATACCCAACCCAACAAATATGCTAAGTGACACGAACTAACAAGACCTATTCAGTATTGTTGACCTAAAGTGATTACATAATATTCTAAGATATATTTATTAGTGTAAATATTCATATATTAACAGAATATGTATGATCAAATCTTAATAGTTTGATTACTTTATGATATTCTTTAATACCATATATCTACATAATATTTTGTTAATAAAGTAAAGTATGACACTATTATGATTATTTTGCTAATTATCATATATATGATAAACTATTATATTTATTGATATTATTTGATATCATCTTAATGTTATATGTTCTTACCACATAAGTCATAGGTTTGAAAATCCTATAAATACACATTGTATTTTACTAGGAAATATACATTCATTTTCTCTTTTACTCAAAAAGTTCAAACTCTCTTACGAACTTGAGCATGAGAGAGTCTTTTACAAATGAATCTCTTCCTATGTTTCAATCCTCAAGGGTACACATCAATATTCTTCTACTTTCTTAGATCTTGTTACCTGTTTAAAGATCTAAGTTCAAGATTCCAACGAGAATAGGTTGAAACTCTATAAAATAAAAGTAGACACCACAATTTCAAAGATCTATGTTGGCATATATAAGTAAACACAAATAAAAGTAGAGAAGAAAAAAAAATAGTGAAAGACACGTTATATATACATATAGAAATACAAGAGAAGAATAGATATAAAATTATAATATTTTTTTAGATAAGAGGTAAAATTAACTTTTTGATGAAAAATATGATATTTTGTACTATCTTAATTTACATCATAAATAATGTGAAATGAGAAATACATTTACCATATCTTAACACTCAAATTAAATATATAACAACTACTTATATGGTCGCTAACTTAAAAAATTCGTAAATACTAACATGTAAGAAGTGTTCTTTCATTCACGTTATTGGTCACCATCCATTCCATTTGAATATTTCACTAAATCACTGTTACAAAAATTACGTTAGTAAACTAGTATTTAATTATTTGTAGTATCGAATTTTGTTTTTGAATATTTCTATTTTTGGTCACACTTTTTTATCACTTACTTGAACCTACAGTCTTAGATATTAGAAAGATGCACAAAATTACTCAAACCTAATTCGATTTTTTGTACACACAAAAAGAGAGAATGAAAAGGAAAATCTTGCATTGAGCTCCACAGACTCACTCGCAGTTAGCAGTTACTACTGATTTACAATGCAATCGCACCTTGTGGTGGGATCCATCTCCATAGGACGCTATGGTGGCGCCGCCGATTCCAGCCCCTTCCACTCCGCCGCACCTTCCTGCTGGACCAACCCTCCTCGCCGGCGCACTCCACTCGTCGTGGCCTCCTCCTCGCCCACTGCCATCAACGGCGGCCAGAATCACTACGCCGTGCTCGGAGTCGCCTGCAATGCCACCGCCGTCGAGATCAAACGCGCTTATCGCCTCCTCGCCCGCAAGGTATTCTTCGATTTCGCATGAATACTTGATTGATTGATTTTTCGTTTCGAGTCTGCGTTGTAATATGCTACGAGCTGTAGTGATTCTCGATTTGACGTGAACACCTAAGAACTGTGTTATATTAACTTACAGAAAATTGGATTCTTTGGCATTTCAGTATATTGTAATTGTTTCAAATTATTGACAATTTCTGGTGCCTGGTGATTGGTTATGTAATATTAGAACAATTTTATCTTTTCTCGTAAGAGGTCAAACCAAAATAATAAAATTACACTAGTAATACACTAAGTTCTGAATATCCATAACTTTAGTTCTTAATTTTATACTTTAACTAACATTCGCGGACATATTTGAAGGACTTTTTAATATCAGGGGATTATTTAGCTTGATTTTTTGTATCTGGGGATTACTTATATATTCTCTCTACTTTAGAGACCATTTAGGAGACAGGGTAATAGTTTGTGGATGGAGTTGATGATTTATATGAAATGGATTTCTCCAGGCTTGGTAACTATTAGAGAAGAGAGCATTAGAAAAGTGAATCTAAACCATATTACTATATAGCCAATCCTGAATTGCGCATGGCAACTTCTATTGCGAAGTCTAGCACAAAAGTATGCATATTTTTTACTTTTATATCATACACATATAAATACTGAAAAATAGAAAATTTACAAAATTAAAGAGGAAAGACAAAGTTATAATTAATCAAAATCAATTGTGATTGTCACTACATTCAAATCCAAGACTAAAAGAGGACTAATAATCAAAGTAAGTACTTTGCCTAGTGCTTATTACAAGTGATTCCTTAAATAGAATTTCTATATCCACTTTTAAGTTCTTCCTCATCACCATTCTCTTGTTTATCATTATCCAAGATGTTCGTTCTCCTCCTTCTCCTTAATATTTGCAATTGCGTTAAGTCTCAAATGCTGTCTAGGGACTCTACCCGGTTGTCTAGCTCACCCAGCCAAACCCACTTGTATCACCAAAAAATCCCCATGTCAAGCTATCATACCAAAGATCAGTTCATCTTCAACTACTTCTCCATCTTCAGCCATTTCTCCTACCTACCACTTATTTCAATCATGAATTTCATCTAGGAGAATAAGGTCAATACGATCCATGCTGTCACCACTACAATCTTTAAGGGTTGATTGTACTTTAAAAACCATGTCTTGGAGCTTTTTACGGTCAAACTTGCTTCTCTTCTTAGAATGATGACTTTATATTATATAGTTTTTTAAAAAAAAGTTAGTTGTGCTTTAATGTATTCCAGTTGTGCTCAACCGTGATGTTGCTACATGGGAGGCTTAACACTTCAGTTGCAATTGTTTGCAAATTTGGAGCATGTTCCCCATGATTAGGTATCTCAATTTTCATTTACCATCTATGCCCAACTTCACAGATTGAGTCCATTCAATGAAATTTTTGCCATCATTGTAAACTTAGTTCTGCGAGGAAGCATCAAATGGTACTGTGAGAGTGCTTTTTAGAGGCTCTGTTGAGGTGTTTGGTGTATTTCGTTACTATGGTTTAAAGGTGTTATAGCTGAAGCTGTGACATCATCTAGTTTAGAGAAAAATATAGTTTTTCTCTATTGACAAAAAGAACACAGGTAGCCGTGGTAGTTGAACTTGGATACAAATTGTGAATCAGAATCCTTTTTTCAAGCAAATCGAATCATGAATAGAAAACCTCATAATAAAGAGGAAGAATCACTTGTAATAGGCACTAAGCAAGCATACTTGGATTCTTAGTCTTTGATTAGTGTTGAATTTTTATGTTACTGAAAATGGATATTGATTGTTAATATTGACCGTGTCTTGAATTTTTTCTATTTATAAAGGCCACTATAGATGTAGCAGTGTATTTGGTATATGAGTTTGTAAATACTACTTTCACATTTTGTCTTGTCTTTTATTTTGCTGAGAGTGCAGTACCATCCCGATGTTAGCAAGGATCCGCATTCTGAGGAGTTATTCAAGAGCATCCGTCACGCATATGAAGTGAGCAATTGCTTTTCAACTTTTCTTGATATATCGAAATAGTTTCTGTTACAATGGATTTAATTTCATTTTTCTGGGGCAAGGAAAAGTTATACATTTTGAATTAGGGACCGTACTGTACACAGTGCAGTCTTACCGGTTCCACAACAATTTACTTCGGCAGAGACTAAAAAATCAGAATAGAATGTGACTAATTGACATTCATTTAATGGTTTTTGGATAGAGAGCATAGCAAACTTCTTTGCTATGCTCTTTTTCAGTTTCCAGATTCAAAATAAGATGACTACAAATGTAGTCAAGTTTTTCATCCAACAAATTTAGTACATTTATAAAGTAGTTTATGAATTTTGAAACATTTTATGAAGTTCCTAGAATTCCTTCAGTAATATAAGGATTTCTTATTTGTTTTTCTCGGGCTTCGGAGCATATCTCGGTTTAGAAATCGAATGACAGTTTTGGTTGTGTATATCCATAAACAGGTACTATCCAATGAAGCAACTAGAGTTCAGTATGATCAAGAACTTCACTTTAGTCACAACTCTCACCGGGAAAAATGGAGTTACAGTACTGAGTTTGAAGATCAGGTAAGAGTCTATAGATGGGCTCACCTGAGGAAAAAAATGCATAGTGAAAGATACTGGGAGCATGGCAATGTTAGTGAGGATTACAACAGTGAAACTGAGGAGGAAGAAGATGAAGAAAATTTAGATGAACAGAGGGGTTCTTTTATTGAAGTGCTTAGATCAGCGTTCTTGTCATTATTTTTGTTTCAGACGTTTGGATCCCGACTCTCTCTTACATTTAGTGGCCTGACAGCATTGCTTGATCAAAAGTTAGACACGGGCTATAAAATTGGGTATGTAATAGCATGGATTTTGGGCGGGAGGGGTGGCATATTGCTAACATTGTGCTTGTCTTTTGCAAGTTGGGTATGCGGGAAAACCAGTAGTAGTGTTGTTGCACTAATTGTGGTGGCCATGTGGGTTGGCTCCTACCTTGCAAGGTATGCACCACTTCCCCAAGGTGCTCTATTGGCGCTTCTCTACATGTCCATTAAGCTACAGTCTGACCTAATATAGACACATTCTCGCACTGCAACTAGCATATTTTCTGAACTTGTATATCTGCTATGTTATCTATTATGGTGTTTGTACAGTATACCATATTCTGGTAAATGTAAATAATTGTATTTTCTGATTATAAATAAAGTGCATAAACGGTTGATTAGTTGGATTACGCAAATTTCCATATAGCCCCTGAGTTTGAACATGTGTGCAGTGCTGGCATAGAAGGGAGAAAAAAGTGTTGAGAATGAGGCACAAGGCTTTGGAAAATAAACACTGAAATTAGTTTGCAAAATTAGTAGAATTGTACAAGCTCTTTCCCATTTACCTATCAAGCATTTGCAGAAAGAAAAGGATGACAAGAATTTACAGGTTTCTTCAAACTGGGAGTGAAAATAAAACAATGAATTAAAAGTTTCTGCATCAACAATCAAGATTTGAGAAGTTCCAACATCTAAGAGCTCTTTACTTGAACAACATCTGTCCTGGATATCAAATTTCTCCATATATACCTCCCGCTGGCCATGTCAACAAATACCCAGAATCCATTCTGAATCATCTGAAACCGAAGAAAAAGGGTTAAAAAGAAGAAACTCATGAATGGTGGTGAATTTTATTAGAAAAAAAAATGGAACAGAGGGCACCTTGTTGAAACTGAAATGATCCTTATTGGAGGAGGCTTTGTTGTTCTGGTCTTGGGTGGTGAGGTCAATCTCTGGGGAGGAACGTACGGTGGTCCAGGCAAAATAAGCTGCCAATGCGGCGGAGAAAAAGACAAGGATGAACCTGAGAGGACACATGTCTTGCAAGGCAACAAAGATAACTGAATTTACAAAAGAGTGAGAAAGAAAGAGCGAAAACTGAAGACAACCGAAGCAAGTCAAGAATTGTTTGTATGATATGTGCTTTGAGTATTTGGAGGTGGAGTTGTTTTTATATGAGAATCACCATAGTTGGAAGAATGAATGAATAAGTAAAAAACGTGTAAAGGCAGACGCTGCGTTGTACGGGTCTTTGTGACTTTTCTTTAAGAAGCAGTGTTGTTTATACTCTCAAATGTAACGCTTTCCCTTTGTGCATGTTGGACTTTGTAAAACCTTGGAATGTAACAGCAATGGTATACGTATTATGATGCATCAGCCGGCCCCCCTAGTTCTGAAGGAAAATCTTTTGGATCCACATCTTGGTTATGCATCTACTCCACTGACTTATTCTCTGCTGCATTATTGTGTGGTTTGATATTTCTTTTGCTTCCTATGTTTTGTTAAACTTGAACATATCCTTTTTGTCTCACCAAAAATTTCATTTTTCCCATTCAGGCAATATTCATTATTAACATACTCACTTGCACACGGGGACCGAGTCTCAAAAGTTTGTTGAGGGTGATTGAAATTTAAGATATGAATCAATCACGATCTATACTTTTTTTATATAAATTAGTTTATTAATTAATGTACCAAATTCATTGCAATTTATAACTTAACATATAAACGAGAAAACCTATTTTTAAAAGATATTAAAATTGTATAAAAAAATAATTTACCAAATTTTATGGGGGAATAAGCTCCTCTCAATTGAATTCCGTTTTATTTTATATAAATAAAAGGAGTTTAACGTTAAATCACTCAATCAACTTTTTTTCAATGTCGACATGTATTCAATTAAGTCGTCTTAATCCTGAAGCATACTATTAGCATCGAGTATGTCTAGGGGCTATATGTCCTTGGAAAAGTATAGTTATACAAATAAGAAAAATATTTTTTTTTTCAAACATTTAATCAATTATAATAAAAAAGTAATTAAAAATAAACAAAGCTTATTTAAGAATTTCTTTTTTAAAAATCCAGTGGATTGCACGGTTAAAAAACCCTGGTGTAGCACATAGCCAGATTCCTCCGTCTTCCTCGTTTTCTCTCATTATTAGCGGGTAGAACACAACACAAGGGGTACTTCTTTTTTCCTCAATATTTTTAACGAAAACGCACAACATAACACTCATGCAATGTTCACATGCACTGATTTTACTATTTAAAAGGAACGGGAAAGACAGATTCTTGTATAAAATGATGTTCACTTCCAAATGTTGAAAGGAAGAAAATAAAGTAATTAGCGATGTACATATTTAATTTATCACCCGAGATAGCAAGAAATTTACAAAAAATTGATATAAAATATCATTTTTATCCTTATTTTATTTTATAATTTGTTGCATATGTAATCATTCAAATGTGATATTTTTTTCATTTTGTTTGTTTGAAATGGGATATTTTTAATATTAATATTTATTATTTTCAAGATATAATTTTTAAGATATAAAAAAATTTGTTTTCCACTTCAAAGAGCACTTTGTTTCTTTCCCCGATCAAGATAAAAATGTTATTTTATTTGATTTTACTTAAATAAAAATTTATTTTATTTTAAAAAATAATTTTCATTTTTCTCTCTTATAATATTTTTTTCTAATAAATATATTATTAATAAATATCATTTTACACTAACAAGTATATTTTGGTAATCTTATTTTCTATTAACTAAAACAAATTTTTATCTATGATCTATATTTTGGTAATCTTATTTTCTATTAACTAAAACAAATTTTTATCTATGATCAAATTCTAGTTTAACTTTTACAAATTTCTTTTCTAAATTTATTTTTGCTTATCTCTAAATTCTTTATATAAAAAAAATAAACTTAATCTTAAATCCTCTTTTACAAATTTTCTTTCATTGGTCTATTCTAACTTATCTCTAAATTTTTTCAAAAAAAATTAACAATAAATTTAATTTTAAATTCTCTCTGTTTCATCGCCTCTCTCGTCCTTTTATCCCTCTTTTAACGTGAACACAGCCTCAGCCTCTTCTTCTCCCCACAAGAGACGCAACCAAGCTTTCTCCTTCACCTACTCCCTCATCCACCGCGACCACAGGCGCCTCCGCCTCAGTTCGCTGGTCGTCGCCGCTGCCAAACCCTAGCTGGTTCATGTCCTCCTCGACGACCCTAGGCCACCGCCAGACCCTCACCGCGCGTCTACAGCCATCCCTCGCCGGAGTCTTGATCACCTTCATCGGAGCTGGAACCACTTGCTAGTCGTCGTAGATCTCGTCCTGGAAGCTTCCTATCTCGAGCTCGCCGAGGTTGCAGAGGACTACCTTAGCCACTGCCTTGGGCCGCCGCAGCTATCTCCGGCGAAGCTTCTCAGAGCTGTGGTGAGTTGATCTTATCTATACCCTAACTTCTGCTGGTGTTGTTTGGGGTAATTTGAAATGTCATTTGGTTTTTGTTTCTGATTTTTGGTTTTCGGCGAATGAACATAATACAATTTTGATTGCTCTTTATTTGTGTATGGTATTGTGTTATGCTTGTGATTGTGATTAAACTTTTGTTAAAAAGCTGACAAAATCACAGATTCAGTGCTTAATTATTTATCCGCATTCCTCTGGACACCAGAACTAGTAACTCTAAAAAGAGTTAAAAATATACCTCTAGATACCAGGACTACCAGAACTAGTAAGTACCTCTAAAAATTATACCCGACATAATATAAGAACAAGTAAGTTCCGTGATTTGGAGGAATCACATTGTTGTAAGTACCACGTCGACTAGGCCAATTTAGAGTATATAACTAGATGCAATCCTCATTTTACAAGCTGGATTTATGGGTTGAGTTAGACTTAAAGTCTAGTCCTTAACATGATATCAAAGCTATGGTTAGAGCTTATTCTAACGATATTTGTTTTTTGTTGGACATATTGTTTCACCTATTATCCGGTCGCTATTAGACCACCATTAATGTCTAATCTTATGTTCGATATGTATATATCTCGACATGAGGGGTATGTTGGAAATCTTACATCGACTAGAGATAAGGCCAATTTAGAGTATATAAGTAGGTGCAAACCTCACCTTACAAACCAGTTTTGTGGGATTGAGTTAGGTTTAAAGTCCACTTCTTAACACACATGATACCTATTTATAGGTAGAGAAGAGTTTCTGAGATGAGCTAAATCCCATGAGATGAGCTAAATCCCATGAGTTGAGGAAGACTCCTTCACCACCTTGTGGCTGAAAGCTAGCAAAGACCTCGTGATACTTGTGGTTGCAATTATTGGGGATTGTCAAATAACAAGTTTGTTTTAATGAGTTTGGCCAACAAACAAGCTTGGCCAACACGAAGAGAGACAATGATGACTTTTGCAATATATATATATATATATATATATATATATATATATATATATATAACACAGGTTTTATAACAATCACATATTGTAAAAGATAAAAAAGAAAGATTGAAAGAATAAAATCCTGAGTCTGATGATTGGTTAAGCAGAGGGTTTGAGTTCATTTCTAGGATAATTGCGGATGTGTATCTGAGAACCGAGATTGGGGAAAGAATTGAATCCTGAAATTTGAAAAAATACGGAGTATTTTGTTTGATTGGTGAAAGTTTGAATGTCCCTTTGTTTGAGGGGAGGATGTTGGGTACAAAACAAAGTTCCACATCGGATAAAATACGAAATAGACATAGGTTTATATACACTTAAGATACTTCCCTTAGTAAGAGGCCTTTTGGAGTGGCACAAAAAACAAATCCGTGAGGGCTTGATCCAAAGCGGACAATATCTTACCCGTGTGGTGATCTATGGATATGTGTGTATATTAAACCTACACAACAATGACTCCATTCCAATTGTGAGAGATGGCTTTTAATTGTTGAAATTTTCCTTCTCTACCAATGCATACATATTTTGTTTCTTAATTTGAGTCTATCACTATCTTATATGTTTGCATCTAGTTGGACCACTTTGCACAAGCTGTTTTACAATGATGGAAGTTTTTGAATCAAAATATAGTGATGTAGCTTGAATTATATGAGAAATGCGTAGTTACTAGAGATGATATATGTTAGGATATAAGGTATTTGGGATATAAGGGTATAATGGGAAATGAGATTAGGATAGAAGGTAGAGGAGTTGTATAAATAGATTGTTTGGATAGTTAGAAGGCAGTTTTTGGGTAGATGATTTGTTAACAGGTTTAGTCCTGTGAAAGGGGTTATGCCCTTGTTTCTGTAAGTGTGCAGAGTATTCTTTTGTGAATAATACATAGTTTTGTTCCCATTCTTGTTATCTTTCTGTTCTGAGAGGTTGTTTAGAGGGTTCTTGACTAAGTTTCTTAATCGGAAACCTATCAATTGGTCCGACCTGCCGGATTCATCCCGATCAGAAGAGTGACGAGCGCGTGGGATGGAGGGAAGAGTAGCAGCAGTAGAAGGGCAGATGGAGGCAGTAGAGATTGCGATAGCCGAGATGAAGGCTGATACGATGTTCTTGCGGCATGAAATCGGGGCATTGAGGTAGAATTACGAAGCAATGCGTCAGGATATTCAGGCGATCCTGAAGATGCTAGGGGATCGCAATCGCGACCCGAACGGCCATCGCCAAGGGGGCAGTGAATCTTCGGTGAATGACAACGGTGGCGGACCTGACGGAGATAGAGAAAGACGAGGATAAGGGCGATAGGACAGACAAATTAATTGGAGAAAACGGGTGGAGTTACCCGTGTTCGAAGGTGGCGAACCGTGGAACTGGATCAGTAGGGCGGAAAAGTTCTTCGAGGTGCAGAGAGTGGACGAAGACGAGAAATTACAACTGGCTTTCATTAGTATGGAGGGGTATGCGGGGAGTTGGTTTCGATTTTGGAGAGAGAAAACCAAGAACCATTCTTGGGAAGGGTTGAAGAGAGCTTTGGGGATTAGGTTCGGGGGAGGAGCAGAGGGGAACCGTTTACGAGAAATTGTCGACCATCAAGCAGGTCGGAACTAGGGATGGCAAAAAAATCCGCGCCCGCGGATATCCGCGGATAAAATCCGCGACGGATAGTTGGTACCCGCGGATATTTACTATCCGCGGGTTGCGGGTAGCGCATTTTTTAATACCCGCTTATAAACGGGTCGGGTGCGGGTATTATACTATCCGTATCCACGGATATCCGCTACCCGCAAAAAATAAAAATAAAAATTTAATTTATATTTTATTAAGTTAAATTTAATTAAAATTAACATTAATTTATATTTTATAAATTTAAATATAATTAAAATTAAATTTTAATTTATATTTAATTTAATATATATTATATTTTATATATTTTTTGTAATTTTATTTAAATTTTATTATAATATTTTATAAAAATATATTTTTTTAAATATTTATGGGATATCCACGGGTATCCACGGATATCCGCGGGTTTTAAAACATCCGCGGATATTTTTTAAGCTGATATCCGTGCGGGTAGCGGGTGGATTTTTTTTTGTCGGGTCGGGTTGCGGGTAGGCACTATCCGTGCCCGACCCGATCCGTTGCCATCCCTAGTCGGAACGGTGGAGGATTATGTCAGGGAGTTCGAGACGCTGGTGGGACAGACATCCAAGATTCCAGAGGAGCAGATTCTGGGTTACTTCAAGGCGGGACTCTAGGAAGAGGTGGGAGACCATGTCAGGCCGCACGACCCACCATACCTGATGACGGCGATGCGGGTGGCACAAGATGTGGAGAGATTTACAGTCTCGAGAAAGGAAGGAGGATCGGCGCCCAAGAATCAAGGTGCGTGGGGACGATCGGCGGGGGCTGTTACGCGAGTAGAGTTCCAACGCAATACGCAGAGTCAGGGAGGGGCCGAGGAAAGTGTCGGTTCCGTGAAGAAAGAGGCGACCCTCGGAGGCGGCACCGCAAGAACCACTGATGACTGGAGGGAAAGGAATACCCACAACCTACCATATTCGGAGTACGTGAAAAGGAGAGAAGAGGGAAGATGCTTCCGATGCGGAGGGCCTTTCAGCCCAGGTCATCGATGTCTAGAGCGGGGATTGCGAATGTTGATCTTGGCCGAAGAAGAAGAGGAAAATATGCCACCGCCCAAGCCCCTGACTCGAATTGAAGGGCAAAGCTAGGGGTAATCCGATGAGGAAGAAGAGCTATGAGACCAAGCCTCCCCCATTCCAACCTTGAGGATAAGGTTGTTCTGAAGAGGGGTGTAATGTTAGGACATAGGGTATTTGGGATATAAGGGTATAATGGGAAATGGGATTAGGATAGAAGGTAGAGGAATTGTATAAATAGATTGTTTGGATAGTTAGAAGGCAGTTTTTGGATAGTTGATTTGTTAACAGGTTTAGTCCTGTGAAAGGGGTTATGCCCTTGTTTCTGTAAGTGTGCAGAGTATTCTTTTGTGAATAATACACAGTTTTGTTCCCATTCTTGTTATCTTTCTGTTTTGAGAGGTGGTTTAGAGGGTTCTTGACTAAGTTTCTTAATCGGAAACCTATTAATATATATGGGTCTATCATCATACAAGTTGAAATGTTCATTTACATACATGGTAATTTAGTCTGAAGTATTTAGATCACCGTTCAATTCTTATTGCCGCTTATCTATTTTCCAAACTTTTACTATGTATATTTGGTATCACGTTTCTAGGCCCAATTGCAGGATATAGTTACGAACACAGCACATAGGGTTTATTGTGTTGTGTTGAAATATGGAGGGTGCTCGACGACTACAGGGACAATCTATAGCAGTTTTCAATGAAGGAATTGGATTACTCCTTTTCCGCTGGTCGGCTCTTCAAACTGCTGTCGAGAACGAATGGGGTGGCCGTGAGTCCCGTGTCAAAGCCGATCAACTTGTCACTGATATTCTTTCGTGGTTCACTCAATTCAAAGGTATATCAATTGACGCAACAAAAGACAATTCAATTCCGGAAACTCTTTTAATTTTTTGTTTTTAATTGTTTTGGTGGATGTGTTCCAGAGCCACTGTACATTGATGACTTAGAAGACATACTGGATCAAGGTATGCTTTCTCTCAATGTGGAGGTCGAAGATGGCAGTATTGAAGAGGTATACATTTTCTTTTTCATTTTATTTAATATGTTTGTTTTGTTATATTCACTTGTTCTTATTTTTTTTATGATTATTTAGGTAGCTGAGAAATTAATGGTTATGCATGAAGAATTCTTGGACGGAAATTTTAGTTCTTTTGAAAATCTTAGGAAAGCCAATCTCGAGCAAGCAACTCGTCCTCACACAGCGCAGGTACATTAGTGATACAGTATGTGCACAATAAAATTTTACTATTTTTTTAATATCATATTTATAGGGTTCTATACTGGTTTAATTTTACTATTTTTTGATATCATATTCACAAATATGAAGTCATAACTATTGTGTGCCTCAATGCAAAATCTCATCTAGTACATCTATTTTCCCCTCTCACTACCTTTCAATTTCAAGTCTTGAAACCTTGCTTAGTTACTGGAGCAGCCACTAATTTTTTGTATTTATATGGGTACCTCTCCATTTGCATTTCACCATCTTCACTCCAACGGAACACTTTCTTATCAATCCAGGTCAGTCTCTGGGTTTCCTACCTTTTATCTTGAAACTGTTTCCCCTTAAAAGACATGGAAATCCTGTGAATTTTCTTTTTGATTTTGAACTCCTTTGCTTGAAACCAGCGATTGCATGTAACTTGATCATTTAAAAAATGTATTAAATCAGATTATTTGTTAAGGTTAGCGGGGTACGAGGTTTAATTTTATATAATATACAGAAATCTGTTTATAAGTAATTTTCAGGCATTTTACTCATTTTATATGGAAAATTGAACCATTTAGCCTTTGTTGTAAGATGTGTAATTCTCTTGGTTAATGCTTCAAATAGAAGTGCTTGAATAATGTTATTTTTTAAAATTTCTGGTTGTTTGGGTTATGCTTTTACAAAGAGGAGTGTCTCTTAGAGACCTAGTTAGATATTATTCCAAATATGATTTTGATCATGATCCCTAGTCATCCTAGGAGAGCTCCTGGATGAAATTTTAGGAAACTGTATCTATAATGGTTCTTTTTGAAATTCATTCAGCAAGCTTTTTTGTTAAAACGCATTATTTAAACATGTACAAGTTAAATGAAATGCCAAGTTTGTGCTTTTACTATAACCAAATCCTCTTTACATTTCGTGGTTTTGGTGGGGACAATGAACACTTGATTTAATCTGAACAGTGTTTGCAAAACAGGTTTTTCTTGAATGTCTTAAATGTAAAAAGGAATGGGCAAGGATTACAGGTTCTATGCTAGTTTAATTTAGGGTGGTTCAATTTCTACATGATGGGTATTATTCAGAAATATCAAGTCATAGCTGTTGTGTGCCTCAATGTAAAATGTGATCTAGTTCATTGCTGTTGTTACATACGTTTACAGAGCATGCTTTTGCTTGATTTGTACATATTTCTCCTTTTTTATGTACAGCCAGGAAACAATTGTCTTATCTTCCTCTTTACTTGAATTTGAATGCTTTAATAATAACGTTAGGCGTTTAACCAAATAACACTTGGACGATCTTCCAGTTTCGTTGAATTTGCATGCCGTAATAATGTTAGACGTTTTTTTATGTTTTAGATTGTAAATGATGGTGAAGATGACAGTGACGAAAATGGTGGTGATGAAACCATGAGTATAGATCGTAATTCTTCAAGCATGAATACGGAGATTCCGAGATCTTATTCAAACAATAATTCAGTTAATGAGCCCCGGCCGAATGTTTCAGGCGGAGCAGATGATGGATGGGCTGTAGTTTCAAACAGAAGAAATAAGGGGAGGAAAAATTAGATAAAAAAATATCTATTTTTTTTTTCAAAGTTTTGTTTCAAGCGGGGGGTAGTCCTTATACTTTTTGAGGTTTTGCAGAATATCTTAAGGATTTAGAAAAAATAGTTATCCCGGTTATATGCATTGGAAAATCGTACATTATGTTTTATACATTTTTTTTGCCTTGTGCTTTCATTTTATGTATGTAGTTTATGTATTCATATGGGTACCTCTCTGTTTGTGTTTCACCATCTTCACTCCAACGAAACACTTTCTTCTACTCTTCAATCAAGCCGGGCCAGTTTCCGGATTTCGTACCTTTTACCTTGAAACTGTTAACCTTAAAAGACTTGGAAATCCTGAGAATTTTCTTTTTGATTTTGAACTCCTTTGGCCGAAACCAGCGATTGAATGTAACTTGATCATTATAAAAAAGTGTATTAAATCATATTATTTATTAAGGTTAGCAGGGTACGAGGTTTAATTTTATGTAATGTACTGAAGTCTGTATATAAATAATTTTCGTGTGGTAAATTGAACCATTTAGACTTTGTGTAAGATGTGTAATTCTTAGTTAATGCTTCAAAGAGAAATGCTTGAATAATGTTATTTTTTAAAATTTCTGGTTGTTTGAGATATGCTTCTACAAAGAGGAGTATCTCTTAGAGAGCTAGTGATATATTGTTAATATGATTTTGATCATGATCCCTAGAACTCAGAGAGGTGAATGAGAGGACACAGAACTAGGAACAACAGATTTATTTGTGTCAACAAGATATTGAAAGACTCAAAGGTTGTCTTTTGGTTTCAAAGGAGAAGTCTTTGGAATCAGAGAAAAAGAACAGAGTATCTAAAAGGAAACAGAAGCAAAGAAAGAGAGAGAAAGCTTATAGAAGAAAAAGAAAAGGTTCTTCCGTAAACTCTACTCATAAGGGGAGGAACGACCATGATAACTAGTAAAAGAAGAATTGGAGGGAATATGCTTGGTTTTGGAGTGGAGAACAGGGTTGGATACCAGCATAACAACACTGAGATTACCAGAGAAAACTATGAGAACTTTGTGTGACAGAAAACAATTTTTCGGGGTGTTTCAAAAGTAATTTTCTAATTCGGAAAATATATTTTGGAATTTTTTTTATTTTGGATTGAATTTTCTCAGAGGTACTTTTAGATCTGAAAATACCTTTTCAAAAAATTGAAATAAAAAAATAATTCCAGAATAAATGTTTCGAAATATATTTTTAGATCTGAAAATAATTTATGAAACACTTTTTAATTTTTTTTATTCTAAAATAATCATTTTGGATTTGGAATTTTTTTTCAGTAAATTCAGAAAGTATAAAAAATAAAGAGGTGTAGAAATTTTTATTATAGTTTTAATAAGGAGTATTTTAGGGTTTACAACATTTATGGGGGTGCAGGGAAGAAAGAAGAAAGTCCCACTTGCACTTCTATTCATTTCACACACCCACAAATATACTATTCCTGCACCGCGTTCTTCAATAAGCACACACTATACTTGATTTTAGTTTTTTTTTATTTCCTTTTTGGGGTTAGACTGTGATTTATTCTCTTGCGTGTTCCCTCCACCACCTTAAGTGCTTTTACCTCCTCAATATTTTCTTTTATTTCAAAAATATTCTACATCTTCTCACTATTTTTTTTTATTCCAAAAATACCCTACACCTCCCCACTATCATCAACAATCTTTCTCTCTCTGCATTAATGTAACATTCATATGGTTTAGATTTAAATTTGTGATATATTACAAAATATAAAATTCAGAGGAAACTTCAATATTAATGCTTCTACCACTTCCATTTTATAAACTTAAAAGTTAGATGCAAATACAAAATAATAAACACAATACTATTAATAGTAAATAATATATTATTATTATTATTATTATATGCTAATTTTATAATGATGAAAGAACTAAATAAATTTCAAATCTTTAACAAATACTTTTTCTTTTATATTTTAAGTATTTAATAATATTTTTATATTATTTATCTAATAAATTAAATACTTTATTCAAGTTATTTGAGTCAAATATGTCGGTAAGTTAAAACATTATATAATGTTAAAAATTATAGATATTAAATGTAAAAAACACACATATATATAAACATTTTTCTAGAAATTTAGAACAAAATTTTACCATTTATTAAGTAATTTGAAGAAGAAAAAAATATAATGAATAGTGAAAATAAGGTTGAATCAAACTTATTTAAAGGAAGGTGTAAATAAAATTTTGCAATATATCACATGTTTAAATCTGAGCCATGTCAATGCTCCATTAATATGGAGAAAGAGAAAAATTGTTGAATATAGTAGGGAGGTGTAAAGTATTTTTTGGAATAAAAGAAAACAGTGAAAAGATGTAGAATATTTTTGAAATAAAAAAAATAGTAGGAAGGTGCAGAAGCACTTGGGGTGTTGAGGGAGCAACACCCTATTCTCTTTCATCCTCATTGGTTTTATTTTTTCATTTGGGTTGTTTTAAATTTTGGACCTTTATTTCATTTTTGAAAATACTTATCTTTTAATTTCCATCTTTCTTGCTTTTTAAAGATGATTGTGAATATATTCTTGATTTTCTTGAGGGGTATGGACAAACTTACGTTTGTTTGTTGTATGCTATGCATTCTTGATATTCTTTCATGGAAATCCTTATTTTGATACATGTTTATATGATTAAGATTATCTATTGTTATTGTTGGGCAAGGGTTTGTGTATGCATGATGATAGGGTTTATATCATGTTTCTGTTGGGTTTTCCCTATGAAAGTTTGTATGTTTTGTTAGGTTATCCCATAATAATATGTATTGATGCTAAAGGAGGACATATGTATGTTGTTTGGTGGTTTTACCATGTAAATATATGTTATAAAGAGTGGTATGATGATCATATGCACTATGTTGGGTTTGTTTGAGTTGTAATCTACATAATGATGGATTTTAGATGATTCAAGGGATGCAATGTATGTAGTAGGGTTTGTTCATAAGGGTATATGAGACTTGAATGTATGCATGTTGTATTGGGTATGTTTGCTTGTGGTTTAGGGTGAGTGTGTATATAATTTGAACACTTAAATTATATTGAAGATGTTTTTTTTTATTCGGTAATAATCGATTATCACTAGTTATAATCGATTATTTACGCATTGGTTTTGATTTTTGTTCGAGAATAATCGTTTATCTGGGATGATAATCGATTATCCTTTCATGAGTGACGAATCTAGGAATTTGATGTGCTAGAACCACTGAAGTAATCAATTATCTTAAGTGATATTCAATTATCACAGTATGTTTTGTGTAATTGTGAACTTTTCGGGAATAATCGATTATCACTTATGATATTTGATTATCCCAGTGCATTTTTATTAAAAATGACAAACTTGATGAAGAATGGATGTGAACCAAGCTTGAGGAGCTATGGAATGGGATGATAATCAGAAAATGAGATTAGAAGTTATGTTTAGGGTCAATTTTGACTTGTGTTTGAGATTGGAGCATGAGCAAGTGTTGGGGAGTACCTGTGTGTATGGTTGATGAGCATAAGGGTGATGGATAGGTCTACCTACTGTACCTAGTAAATCTTGAGTTTATCTATGGATATGTGCTCCCTTTGGCATTGGTTGTTGAAAAGGGAGGGATATTCTCTTTTGCAAATAGTTGTGGAAAGAGAATGATGTTCGACTATTGAACCTTCCTTGTGTGGGGGTAATGATGTTTTCCTTGTCATTATGTGGCACGAATACATGTTCCTTAGTTGGATTACGGGACTACTAGAGCATATTTGTAGGGGAGACTATAAATGATCTATAGGGAAGGTTGTAGATGGCCTGTAAGGAGAAATACAGGTAGGTGAGGTAGGGTACAAGAGTGCGGCTGATTCTTTCCACTATGATGTTTATGATTTTGTGGAGGCTCATGGTAGTGGTCATGATGAGGTTATTCATGATGGTGGTACACGTGTTGATGATTGTAATAACGATGATGCTCTAGAGGAATGCTATGATAATAGTGATGGTATCATGTGGTGTAGTTAACATAGGTGTTGTTGAGAGGATAAACGATTAGTCTAAGTTTATGATGTTCGTGATAACATCGAGGATCGAGCAATTTAAGATGATTGAATTGTTTGTGTAATAGGATTATGAATTCTATGATTATTACTTCTATGTGTGGGTGTTGGATTATTGTTGATATAATCACTATGTATACATCTTATTTTATAATTGTTCTATCGGTAGCTTATCCCATACGTGTTTGTGTTGTGTGTTGTGAATGAAATTATCGGTGATGATAATATAATGTGTTATACGTTAGTAGATGATATTGCATATGATATTGCATATGATATTGTAGATGTTCCAGATGCATGATAGATTCGTGAGATGACGACGAAAAGATTTGAGTTTTCTTTATAGTTCTTTTAATTGGACTTTTGATACAATGTAATTCAGAGTTATTTTTATTTCCTTGGTCATTTTAGTTAACTTTGAAAGATGTTGCTTTTGGAACTAATACGATTTTATTTAGTTATGCATGTTGAATAATGAGTGTTAGATATATTATATCTTTTATCTTTTAGTTAGTTTGTTATTATTTCTTATTTGTATTTTGGGCTTAACCCATATTTCTTCTATTATAAATAAAGAACCCTATGTGTGTATTTTACACAAGGGAGATTAATCCAAATATAGTTTTTCACTATATTCAATATGGTATCAGAGCAGGTTCTCTGATTTTCTTCGAGGGTTTCTGCTGTCTGCCGGCAGCCCCTAAAATCAAAGTGGGCAGTCCATTTTTTCCTTCTTAACTCTCTGCCACAGTCAGCACCAGTCTAGACCCAGTGTGCCACTGATGCCGCCGCCACTTTCCGCTGCCGTCGTTGCTAACTCCGGCCACCATCGCCGTCGCTACCGTCGCCACCGCCACCGCCGGCCACCGTCACAGTTTCGATGGGTGACCTACGGATCTCGAACGTCTCTTCGAGCGACGGCCAACCATGCTGGTTTCGAGAGCCGCTTCTCAGTCACGCGCCGCCACGCAGCGCTTCTTTCAGGCCACTTCGCCATCTCCGGCTACCGCCGGCCGCCGTCACAGTTTCTACCGTTGACCAGCGGATCTGAAGCGTCTCCTCGAGCGACGGTCAACCCCGCCGGAGTGATGACCAGACTCCTCACCACGCGCCTCCACGCGCCGCTTCTTCTCGGCCAGTCTCGGTCGCGTGTTCTGCACGCGCCGCCTTCCTGGTGTCGGAGTTTCACCGCGTCACTGCAGATCGTCTCGCTGGAGCTTCTTGAGTG